CAACCTCTCTGTCTCTCTCTCTCAAGCTCAAGGGTAGCCTTGAAAATTAGTGGACTCATACAGTTGCTTTGAAAACTGCAGCTCAGCACGCCCTGGGGAAAGAAGAGTGGCTTTTGGAGCTCCCCAAACACTCATACTCAGAAAACTGTCACTATTTGACCTGTCTGACAGTGTTACGAAAGCTCCACTCTCAAGGCTTGCTTTTCTTTGACCTCAGGGTTCTCTCTGTATGAATGGCCCTATCCCCGGACCATTTGTCAAAAACAATTAATGGCAGTTGTTTAACATCACAGCTACCTGACATGATAATACTAGTTGGGGCTAATAAGACTCTGACCAAAAAACTTTTTAGTACTAAGGAAAAACAAGGAAGTAAGGTGCTTACAGGGGACTTTGCAAAGTTCTGACATATCCTTAAGAATCAAGATTACGTGTGCATAGCTGTGTGCATGCCCAGGAAAGATCTGAGAAGGCCCTAAACCCTCACCTCTAGCTGACCTTGAGGCTCTGCATGAGCCGGAAGTTAAGGCTAAGACAGAGTTGTAAACTCACTGCTGGAATATTGAAGGCATATCCCAAAACACATACAGAATCCCTCAGAAAATTCTGGAGACATTGAATCAAAACATTTCAGGAAATCTCTGTTTAATCATTAGCTTAACACTAAGCTCAACAAACTCTAGAATAAAAACTCAAAGGGATCTGCACCCAGATACATTATTATCATACTATCAAAAGACAAAGTGAGAATCCGAAAAACAGGAAGAAGGAAGTAACACCTCACAAACAAGGGAATCTCACTAAGATTCACACCATGTTACTAAACACTATAGTAAAAACAAAAAGAATCACCACTGGAAATCTTTTGCCCTGCCTAATTGTATCATCTTCAATTCATGGAAAAATGCTTGAAATATTCTATTATTAGTGTCTCAGTCCTCTCAAATCTAACTTGATATAATGCTAAGTCTTTAAAAGATTATGTCCAATACTCCTCCCTAAGTCATTTTATGAGATCAGCATCATCCTGATACCAAAACCTGGAAGAGACACAACTAAAAAAGAAAATTTCAGGCCAATATCCCTAATGAGCATCTATATAAAAATACTCAATAAAATACTGGCAAACCAAATCCAGTGGGACATCAAAAAGCTTAGCCACCATAATCAAGTCAGCTTCATCCCTGAGATGCAAGGCTGGTTCAACATACACAGATCAGTAAACGTAATCCATCACATAAACAGAACCAATGACAAAAACCACTTAATTATCTCAATAGATGCAGAAAAGATCTTTGATAAAATTCAACACCACTTCATGCTAAAAACTCTTAATAAACTAGGTATTAATGAAATGTATCTCAAAATAATAAGAGCTACTTATGACAAACCCACAGCCAATATCATACTGAATGGGCAAAAACTGGAAATATTCCCTTTGAAAACTGGCACAAGACAAGGATGCCCTCTCTCACCACTCCTATTCAACATAGTACTGGAGGTTCTGGCCAGGGAAGTCAGGCAAGAAAAAGAAATAAAGGGTATTCAAAGAGAAAAAGAGGAAATCAAATTGTTTCTGTGTGCAGATGACATGATTGTATATTTTGAAAACTGCACCATCTCAGCCTGGAATCCCCTTAAGCTGATAAACAACTTCAGCAAAGTCTCAGGATACAAAATCAGTATACAAAAATCACAAGCACTACTATACACCAATAATAGACAAACAGAGAGCCAAATCATCAGTGAACTCCCATTCACAGTTGCTACAAAGAGAATAAAATACCTAGGAATACAACATACAAGAGATGTGAAGGACCTCTTCAAGGAGAACTATAAACTACTGCTCAATGAAATAAGAGAAGACACAAACAAATGGAAAAACATTCCATGCTCATGGATAGGAAGAATCAAGATCATGAAAATGACCATACTGCCCAAAGTAATTTATACGTTCATTGCTATTCCCACCAAGCTACCACTGACTTTCTTCACAGGATTTAAAAAACGACTTTAAATTTCATATGGAACCAAAAAAGAGCCCAGATAGCCAAGATGATCCTAAGCAAAAAGAACTAAGCTGGAGGTATCATGCTACCTGACTTCAAACTATACTACAAGGCTATAGTAACAAAAACAGCATGGTATTAGTACCAAAACAGATACATAGAACAATGGAACAGAACAGAGACCTCAGATATAATGCCACACATCTACAACCATCTGATGTTTGACAAACCTGACAAAAACAAGCAATGAGAAAAGGATTCACTACTTAATAAATAGCGTTGGGAAAACTAGGTAGCCATATGCAAAAAAACTGAAACTGGACCCCTTCCCTACACCTTACACAAAAATTAACTCAAGATGGATTAACGACTTGAACATAAGACCTAAAACCATAAAAACCCTAGAAGAAAACCTAGGTAATACCATTCAGGATATAGGCATGGGCAAAGTCTTCATGACTAAAACACCAAAAGCAATGGCAACAAAAGCCAAAATTGACAAATGAGATCTAATTAAAGAGCTTCTGCACAGCAAAAGAAACTATCATCAGAGTGGATAGGCAACCTACAGAATGGGAGAACATTTTTGCAATCTATCCATCTGACAAAGGGCTAATATCCAGAATCTACAAGGAACTTAAACAAATTTACAAGAAAAAAATAGACAATCTCATCAAAAAGTAGGCAAGGAATATGAACAAACACTTTTCAAAAGAAGACATTTGTGTGGCCAACAAACATGAAAAAAAAGCTCATCATCACTGATCATTAGAGAAATGCAAATCAAAACCACAATGAGACACCATCTCATGCCAGTTAGAATGGTAATCATTAAAAAGCCAGGAAACAACAGATGTTGGAGAAGATATGGAGAAATAAGAGTGCTTTTATCCTGCTGGTGAGAGTGTAAATTAGTTTGACCATTGTGGAAGACAGTGTGGCGATTCCTCAAGGACCTAGAACCAGAAATATCAGTTGACCAAGTAATCCCATTACTGGGTATATACCCAAAGGATTATAAATCATTCTACTATAAAGACACATGCACATGTGTGTCTATTGCAGCACTATTCACGATACCAAAGACTTGGAACCAACCCAAATGCCCCTCAATGATAGACTGGATAAAGAAAATGTGGCACATATACACCATGGAATACTATGCAGCCATAATAAAGGATGTCTGTGTCCTTTGCAGGGACATGGATGAAGCTGGAAACCATCATTCTCAGCAAACTAACACTGCAACAGAAAACCAAACACTGCATGTTCTCACTCATAAGTGGGAGTTGAACAATGAGAACACATGGACACAGGGAGGGGAACGTCACACACCGGGACATGTCAGGGGGTGGGGGGTCTAGGTGAGGGATAGCATTAGGAGAAATACCTAATGTAGATGACAGGTTGATGGGTATAGCAAACCATAATGGCACGTGTGTACCTATGCAACAAACCTGCACATTCTGCACATGTATCCCAGAACTTAAAGTATAATTAAAAAAAAAAAAGATGATGTCCAATGGTACTTACTATTGACTCCATGCCAACGGCTTCAAGGCATGTCCCCCAAGAAGCGCTTCACTCCAGAGCCCCCTTAAACTTTCTTTCTCTTCCTATGTTGTACTTCTTTAGGCACCATCATATTTCCTGATAAATAGCAACTTACAATCTTTTTCCTAGTCTTAAATTTTAAAAGCAATTGTATAACTATCTAGCCGAGGCTTCATTATTAAAATTTCTCAATATCTAAAAATATCACATATTCTCTTTCATGCCTCCCTAAGCCATCCTCTATGATTGCCAACTTTGTCTCAAAGAAAGCTCTCTCATCTTCCAACTTGAATTTATCATCCTTATTTTCCTTTCCATTTTTTCTTTTCAAATTGTCAGGAGTGTTTGAACAAGAGCACTCTATGTTGAATAGGGGCTGGGTAAAATGAGGCTGAGACCTTCTGGGCTACATTCCCAGATGGTTAGCCATTCTAAATCATAAGATGAGATCAGAGGTTGGCACAAGACACAGGTCATAAAGACCTTGCTGATAAAACAGGATACAGTAAAGAAGCTGGCCAAAACCCACCAAAACCAAGATGGCAACGAGAGTGACCTCGGATCAGCCTCACTGCTGCATCCCCACCAGCACCATGAGAGTTTACAGATGCCATGGCAATGTCAAGAACTTTCCCTGTGTGGTTGAAAAATGGGAGGCATGAATAATCCATCCCTTGTCAATAACATATAATCAAGAAATGACAATAAAAATAGGCAATCAGCAGCTTTTGGGGCTGCTCTGCCTATGGAGTAACCATTCTTTTATTCCTTTATTTTCTCAATAAAATTGCTTTCACTTTGCACTGTGGACTTGTCCTGAATTCTTTCTTGTGCAAGATCAAAGAACCCTCTCTCGGGGTCTGGATCAGGATCACTTTACAGGGACAAAATCTCAAGATATAACCTTTAAATTGGCATTCATCATTGTCCATTTATCTTGTAAGTTTACTTAACCTTTCATTGTATATCCTTTGTTCTCTTAAAATTTCTTACATCCTCTCTTCATTCTCAATTGCTGAAATGACTGTATGCTTCATTTGAAAATGTGAAAGCAACCGGAGAGATTACCACCATCTAACCTATGACTGTGCCTGCATCAGTATCAATATCTCATTCTGTCCTGTTCAAACAGTAATTCGACGTGAGATTTGGGTGGGGACATGCAGCCAAACCATGTCACCAGCTAACCCTGGATTTTTTTCCTTTTCACACTGAACTAGTCATTCAGAAGGTAAGATATTTTTATACTTTAAACTTCACATAGCAAAGGTTATCAGTACCTGTTTTTGTGATAATCTCCAAGTTACATACAAACAAGATACCTTCCCATACACATTCCAGGAAGAAAAAATCATGAGGGAAAAACACACACAGTGTTTTTCAAATTCCTCTCACTTGCAGGATGATCTTTATGGGACTTAATGATAAACAACCATGTTTCATTCTTTAAAATGTTTACTAAAAAGAAATATCACCGAGAAAGGGAGTAAGTGGGAAACCTCGTCCTTAGCTTTTGAGAATACACCACTGTGTGGGGCTTCAGTTTCACCCCAGATGTGATTTTCTTGCTGTTAACATGTCCATATGTGAGACGGAAGCCCCACGGTTGAAGAGAAGTGGACTTCAGGTAGACAATAAAGGTGGTTTTGTTAGTCTACAGGTTTCCACTCCTGGGCCATCTGAAAGACATAGAAAAGCAGGTTAACAAAAACCATCTCCAAGCTGTGATCTGGCCACAGTTTGCTTCTGGTTCTCCCAGGAGCTGGCATTGCTGTTAAAGTCTGGACTCTGGGTGTTGTTCCTGGGAAGATCGGGGTGAGCCCTGGGACCTGCAGCATGCACAGCTCCTCACAGCACACACAATGGCAACAGGTCACACGCAGAACGGCCTCAGAAAACAACCTAGAACACTGATTTCAAAATCAGATTGTGTGCAGTGCTGGTGGCCACTCCACTTCAGTTCATCTAAACACCCCTTGCCAATCCTCTGCCCCTTCCTTCATCTTCTCCCACTTCTCACCCCACAGCCCCCGTCCTGACTAACCAGGTTGAGTGTGCTGAGTCTACAGCACTGTTTGAATCTGCATTGTTTGGTTCAATCATGATGCTGAATAACTCTTTTGAAGAGCTATTTAAGCCATCTTCCTAGTATCAAGACCACTCTAAAACTAAGCCCCAAAATGTGAATATCATCTAGAGGCAACATTTAAATTTTTTTATTATGTATCCATTAAGTAAAATAACTGTCTTTTACCTCTAGCAAAATGTTCAGAGTTTAATTCCACTTGATCTATACAACACTTCTATTCTATAGAGTACTATAATACACCTGAAATCTAATTTTAATAAAGAAGAAGGCTGGGCAACATAGTAAGACTCCATCTCTCCAAAAAAAAGAAAAGTAGTCAGACATGATAGCTCATGCCTGTTGTCTCAGCTACACGGGAGGCTGGGGGGGAGTACGCTTGAGCCTGCCATTGTGCCACTGCACTCCAGCCTGAGCAACAGAGCAAGACCCTGTCACAAGAAAAAGGAGGATGAGGAGGAAGAGAAGGAGGAGGAGGGGAGGGAAGGAGGGAGCAGAGAAGAAGAAGGAAGAGGACAGGTGTGGGGGAGAAGAAGAAAGAAGATGACAAAGAAGAAGGAGGAGGAGGAAGAAGCAGAAGAAGAGGAGGAAGCAAGGGAGGGAGGGAGGGAAGAAGGAAGGAAAGAAAAACCTGAGTTCCAGTCTCATCCCTGCTCCCTCCAAGCTACAGGTCTCATGTGACTTCAGGCGAGCCACATAACCCCTATGGGTACTTCACAGTACAATGTCTGTTGGAAATTCTCTGATCTCTAAATCTGTTTCCAGCTCTAACAATCTATGATCCTACTGTTCTCATTTTACAGAAGACAGCTAACGTTCGGGGAGGAAAAGTAAATTGTTCAGGACCCTGTGGTCAAGAAATGGTGGGGCACAGGCCAGGGCCTCGCTCTCTAGCCCTAACCCATTCCTTCCACAGCAGTTTGCTGGTCTAAACCACAGGCACCAGGGCAGCTGGAAGAGAATTCACCCACAAAAGCAGTGAGAAATGCAGTGTTTCAAAGCTCTTTTCCAGCACTAAAATGTATACTCTATGCTTACCATGGAGTCAAATCAAAGTAGATGTGCTCTCTAGCAGAAACTTATTAATTAAAAAACACTCAAGATGAGATGGCGTTGGCTTCTATTTGATCACAAATTTCCCCCTTAAAGTGTAACAAATGCTCCAGTGAAGTCTAACTACAAATCCAGAAATGGAAATATGGTGAATAATAGTTTTTCTTTCTTCTTCTATGTGCAACACTGTATATACCACTAATTGGCAGATGGTGTGAGACTGGTCTGATCTTCAAGAGGACTTGGACCATTCTAGAATCCCCATTGCCATCTTTGAGCTGGCCAGCAGGAAGCTCAGCTAACCTGAAGTCAAGGGCAGGCCTCATCTTAGCAGGGACTCTGCCTGTCTTCTCTCGCTTGGTAACAGAAACGAAAGACACCCACCCACATGGAGTAACTGGATTAGCCGACGTTTCTTAGTGCCTTTTGAGTGTCCAGGACCTTTCTGCTTATGATAAGCAATTCTCCCAACAGCCTATGAGTTAGTTATTGTTATTAGCTCTAAACTGAGACACGGACCTTAATGAGGGGAAAGGCCCAATCTGCATACTGACTTGAGATATATATATATACACCTATATTGGCAAAGATACGTACATACATGTGTGTTTTGTGTGTAGATAAAAACAGATGTGCATAGTTATTATAATATGCCTTAATTCACTTTTTAAAAGGAAGAATAAATTACAGATAACTATGTTACATGTGCCATTGTAAGGTGGCCAAGTCAGTCTGGAATGCCAGGTATGGGCTGACAGCGAAAGAGAAGGTCTGCCCAGATAGGCAATACTTCACCCAGTCTCACCCACCACTCTCTTCCCTCCCAGACTTGCACAGCTAGGGACTAGAGGAAGAAATTCCAGATGAATTTAGGCTTACAACATGTTTTTAAAAACTTTAAGTCTTGCCACCAAAATAGGAAATTCACAATCTTAATATTCCACCATTATGCCTCTTGAGCATGTGAAAAAATGTCTACTTTTATTTTCATTTGTCTTGTGATCCTTCCTAGTTTGTTTTCTTCATGACATGGTTGGCATTTTGTTCTCATGGGATTTGCTGTTTTATTTGTTACCCCCTTGAGTTGTGTATTTCTGAGATGGCCATGCCAGGCATGGCTGAGTGGGCAACTCTAGCCTCTCAGGTGTCTGCTCTCGGGATGACTGTCCCAAGGATGGCTGCATGGGGGACTCCAGAGTCTCAGGTGTCTGCTCTCGGGATGACTGTCCCAAGGATGGCTTCATGGGGGACTCTGGCATCTCAGGTGTCTGCTCTCGGGATGACTGTCCCAAGGACAGCTGTGTGGATGACTCCAGCCTCTCAGGTGTCTGATCTTGGTGTGATTGTCCCGGGCATGGCTGCATGGGGGACTCTGGAGTCTGAGGTGTCCGCTCTCGGTATGGCTCTTCCAGCTATGGCTGCTCGGGGGACTCTTGTTCCTCAGGTGTTTGTTCTTCTTGTCTTGGTGACGATTTTTCTTGTGATTGTCTCATCGGTGGTTGGTTATGGGCTTCTATTTCTACTGGGGTTTCTAGTAGTAGAAGTGCATTTTTTTCCTCTAGAATGTCATATGGTTCATTTTCTTGTTTTCAGTGAACAAAATAAAACAACAAAATCACCAATAAATGTAGTAGCCATCTAAACCAACTGAAATAAATCTAAAAAAGACGAATATTGCTGCTGTATTACTGACTTTGTAGTGACAGTGGTAATACTAAGAAAAACATTTTCACATAGGGTATTACACATGCAATGTGTCTTTGCATGCTTTATCTCCAACAAGCACAAAATAGGACGCAATACCATCAGAGACAAAGTTGTGTTAGCAAATGTTAATTACACAGACACAATCCATTAGTCATTTAAAAACTGAGAAGTCGCAGGGCAGACTGTTGCTTTTTCTATGAGTCAGTAAAACAGAAAAAGGCATTTTCAGTAAAATGAAAAAGAAAGAAATCAGAGCGCAGGAGAATCTAGAGGCCATGTTCTTCAGAGGAGACCCCAGTACATGAGAACCAGCCTTCGGAGCTCAGGAAGCCATGCAATCCACCTTTCACCAGCCAAACTACATTTCCCGCTAACACTGACTTTCCTGTGGGATGAATGCCGTTTGGCAGAGGAAATTAAAAATGCTCCTGAAAACTGAAAACAACACTCTTTGAAATAACACTTGAAAAGATGTGTTCCGTGAGCAGCCTTGCAGAACCTGAGAGGGGCCGGGTAGCTCAGCTGACGTGGAGAACTCAGCACGTTCACAACTCCCTTCCCCGAAATCTGCCCAGACCCAAACTAGAAACCTCCACTCCAATTTCACTCTCACCGCCTATATCCACTGTGTGGCCAGGTGTGGTCAATTTTGTCTGCTCCCAGGAATCTGTCACTTCCTGTCTCGCCCCTTCATACCTGATAGAGAATATGAGGCATGCACATAATCCTCTCATCCCTTTCCCTTCTCTCACTGCTGTCACAGCACTTCTTAGAAACATAAATGTGGTCACGTCATCTCCCTGCTTTAGCATTTCCTAAAAGATAAAGACCAGAATCCTTATGTTGCTGTAGAGCTGCCCTTAATGTGTTACCAGACAGCACACAGCAAAATGGAGCCAGGTGACTAGTTCGGACCAAAGGGACATGAAAGGTGGTGTGTCCCTTCTGGGCTGAGATGGCTGGGTATCTAGTGTGGCTTCCTTATGTCTTCCCTTTCTCCTCCTGTAGCAAACTCAGAGACCATGTGTTGAGGACAGCAGCATCACAAAATCAAGGACCCCTGAGTCACCATGTGGAGGAGACCCACCCGGGAAGGCCTCCAATTCATAGTAGGCTGTCGTGATCAAGAAATAAGGATTTATTGTGGAAAGCCACTGAGATTGGGAATTGATTTTTTTTTTTTTTTTTTTTAGACGGAGTTTCGCTCTTGTTACCCAGGCTGGAGTGCAATGGCGCAATCTCGGCTCACCGCAACCTCCGCCTCCTGGGTTCAGGCAATTCTCCTGCCTCAGCCTCCCGAGTAGCTGGGATTACAGGCACGCGCCACCATGCCCAGCTAATTTTTTTTGTATTTTTAGTAGAGACGGGGTTTCACCATGTTGACCAGGATGGTCTCGATCTCTTGACCTCGTGATCCACCCGCCTCGGCCTCCCAAAGTGCTGGGATTACAGGCTTGAGCCACCGCGCCCAGCCGGGAATTGATTTTTTTTAACTACAAATTAGCCTTGCCTTCTCTCACTGACGGACCTTAAGAACTGAACCTTGTTTTACCTCCATCTCCTTCACCTACTCTTCCTTCCTGAGGCACATTCACTTTTTGCTCCAACTGCACCAAACTCATTGCACTCCCCAAATGCACCCTCACTCTTCCATGCACTTGGCTGACTCCTCTGCCCACCGTCCCCTTCCACAGTCTGTCAAGTTGGCCAATTCCTTCTACCAGCCCTTCCCAATTCATTTTTGCAATCCTCTCCTTTATAACACATTCTATAAATCCCTGCAGCCTCCCTCCCAGGCCCAGACAGTCAGTTGTTCCCTCTGTAGTATATTTCCCGGGTATCCAGTACACACCTGTAATTTAACACTCATCTCTCTTGCTCAGCTTTCTTGTCTATAGATCTGTGCCCCAACACCAATACACATGAGCTTCTTGAGAAACACAAAACTGAGTCTAATTCCAATGGATTCCCTCCACATTCTGGATTGCACTTGGCCCAGGGTCAGCAGTTCCATATTGTCTGTTTTTAAAAATGATTAATGACACATAAGTCCTGGTGCCTCTGTCTACTTTCGGATCAATCTTGAACCAGTCACCTTCCTTTAACTGAAATTGGGTTTCAGTTCATTCTTTCTTTGCAAATAGAGATACAAACGTGGATCTTTAGGAACTGGAGGATTGAGATGATGTGACAATGAAAGCACACTGTGAATGGAAAAAATTGATGCCTACATGATATGATAGTGATTATCACTTAAAAGCTTGAACACAAAAAGGGAGGTTGTTATTGAAGAAAATACAAAGTCACACGTTGTGATACATGACTATGTGCCAAGCAAAGGCAGGGGCTGAGTGCGCTGAGGGCGAAGCGACCCTCTGCTGATCCCACAGGGAGACCTGCTGCTCATGCCGCATACTTGGCCCTCCCTTGCACCTGGGCATGATTCTCTGTGTCAGGTCTGTCTTCCCCACCAGACTGCCAGCAATAGAGCACAGGGATTGCGTTTACTCATTTGGTTTCTGAAGTTCCCAGCTCAGCCTGGCACATGAAAGAAACTCAAAAAGATGTTTGATAAATAAAAGAATAAAATATACATAATGAATGAACCAGCAGTCTGCTAGTCCCACACATAAAGCATTCCCCAAAACACATAAGATTAGAATGTGCAGAATTAAAAATAGATTTAAGATATTAACATGTATGCACATGAATATTAATTTATTATGGAATATAAAAAGATATAAAATATTAATATAAAATAATATTTGTGCTGTGTTACTACAGAGTAAAATGCATTTTCAAAAACTTCGGCGTTCACCTTCCCTTTTAAATCCAATCATCTAGGAGACGTTCCTGGCACTGCATCTGCGTGCTCTGTTGGAGTTCCTTCAGAACTCAGCCCACAACCCAACAGGCACCTGAGTGGCTGAAAATGTGTCCCCTAAGGACACTCATGTGTGTCTACAGCCTGTCGTCTAAAACTTATACTTCTTATCACAAGTTTCAGGAGCTCTTCTGTACAAAATATTATCAGAGTAAATGCAGTGAAAGATTAAACTAATTGAATGATGGAAAATCTGCCAAAACTGCATTGTTGACTGACAGACCGTGTCACGGTATGGTACGCCAAAATCTTCATTTGTCAGCTGACCTGAAGCTTGCCATACACAAGATGGCTTAGGGGGCTCCAGGCAGAGTCATGAGAGCGTGGTTTATTCAAAGGCCACATGAGCACAGGGGATGGCTGCCCATCAGTGGGAAGCTTGGTGACGCCCCCAGCGGGGCAGGGAATCGCCGGGGCCTCGCTGCAGACACGTTCACCCGCGCTGTGCCCTGTGTCACACAGAAGGGTCCGTGAGTGAGCACTGGTCATAGGGTCTCTTAGCAGGAAATGGAATCACTTTTTCACTCTTGCTGAGGTTCTTGAGAGATACTGGAAACAAGCAAACGACAACAAAAATCTAGACACTAGTGAGCTGACCAAAAAGTGTGAAACCATCATACTCTAACATAAGATCCACAGATAAAAGATTTACTGGAATGTACCCCTGACTAGCTTAGAGAACATTTAGGGCCAATTTCAGTAAAAAACATAATTATGCTTCTATTCTGCAGAAAATCATCCCAACATTACACAAATTGTACCTTCTGAGATTATAGGGCACTGGCAGAAATTTGATCTTATTTTTCTTCCCCCAACCCCTCCCCAAAAAGCATATTTTACTTGAATTAGGTTTTCTTTCCCCTCTTCCTGAAGGGTCCGTGAGTGAGCAGTGGGATTTCACAGCAGGCAGCCAGCCACATGTGGTGGCATTTCCCCTGCTCTCCATGAGATTCAGGAGGTGACAGGGTCTTTCCAGCTGACCAGTAAAATGCAGGTGCTGGGCGTTCTCTGTGAGCAACCAGCAAGTGTAAACCGGCTCGGCTTCCACAGCAGCTGCTTTGTCAAACCTCAATAGCAAAGAGCAATAAAACAATACTCACTCTAAAATGAAAAATACCAAAAGTACAAATGTATGTTTGCACCAACACTCACAAGATAAAACACACAAATGCACACAAGTGTCATATCCATAAATGCAATAAACCTTTCACTGATCTCCCCATTGAACAGCTTTTCCAACAATTCTGCTTTGATCTCCGCTATGGTGAAGACTGTGGGCGTCTCTGCCGATTCAGCAACTTGGCAGGAAAATACTTGTTCTAGTCTAGATATATGCCCGTAAGTGTATCTGTGTGTCCAAGCTGCTATCAGCATAATTAACACAGAAATCTCTTTGCTAATAAGCACTTCACTTCCATTGAACTCAGTAGCCACATAACTAGACGGAGGCTGTTCTGGATCCCTAACAGCTTGGCGAGTGAGATGAAAAAGACGTGAGAGCAGATGCGGGAGCTGACAGCCGGGAATGAGGAATTCCAGAAGCCGCCAGAAGAGCTGGCTGGAGACATTAAACGGCCAACACAAGCAGCTGGGTTAATCTGAAAACTAGAGCAGAGGGAAAAACGAACAGGAATGAAGGGTTTCAAGAGAAGGCTGGTTTTGATTACAATTGTGTGAGGTCAGAGGCCACAAGGAATCAGACCATAACAGCGGGATGAGGTTGGAAAAGCCACTGCCTTTGTCCACAAAGAATTTCCCCAATTGTACATTTTAAAGTATTATGTGATTTGAACATTACGTAAGTACTGCAGTCAATACTCGGTTGAAAACCTAGTTTTTATTTTCACTTATTTTTGTGGCTGCCAGAAGCCCCAACAGCTGTTGGTTATGAATTAAGATGTCAGGCTCAAATTTGTGAAAATAAATCCAATGTTTTGGTTGAAGGTATAATTAGTTCGTGAAAAGTTAGAAACCCGGAGTTAGATAGCATTTAATTTCTATATTTGGTAACTATTACCTAGGCAACTGATTTCTCTGTGGGCTAGAACGTTTTTAAATAAATCAGAAAAGACCTTACCAAGTCCTTATGGGGGTTACAATTTACATCAAAAAGTGGTTTGAATTCACAAAATCTCTGATGGTGGCTTGAAGGCTTTCCTGTCCCTCTGTGCCCTAGAATAACGGCTTAACCTAATGATCTCTCCTGCAACCACTATAGACGTTTTTATTCTTAAAATATAAAAATATTTTTATTTTCTATATTCAAACACGCTCATCATAGAAAATCTGAGAAACAGAGCAAAGCCAAAATCTGGAAATAAATCTAAATCATAAACCCACCATGTGATGTAAGTTGTAACCTAAATAAGTCTAACAATAGGGAATAAGAACTTAGCTCTAATTTTGTGGCCTTGGGGCAAACTTCTAGACGGGATGCCTGGTTCAAACGGCCTATGTGCTTTTCAGATTTTTAAGACATACTTCAGAGTCTGACTCTCCTGAGGACACAGCCCCACGGTACCGTCTCGAACGATGCTTTTCTCTTCCACAGGCTTGAACCACTGGCCACCCCTGCTTGTACCCACCGCTGTCTCCAGATCCTCACCCCTTCATCCTCCCTAAAACCCTTAAGCCTCTGGGAAGCTCCTGACATCAGATTCTACCATCCATCCTCTTTCTTTTGAGTAGTTGTCTACTGAGCTCCAGGCCACACCCCTTACTCCCAGCTCATGTTAGCCCTTGGTTTCTCTCTCCTCTGTCTCCGTCGTAATCCTTGGAGACCACGACAGCTACTCAATGCAAACCTTCCAATCATGGTTTCTCAGTGCCTCGGCCTCATCACATCTCATGATCCTGCTTCTTATCACTGACCACACCCTAGACCCTGTGATTCCCAGGAATTCTGACCCACCTCCATTCCACCTCCCGTCTTTACAGCCCTCTCCCTCTAATGCCTCCACTCCGATTCTCCTACCTCATCAGCACCTCTGTTCCACCAGCCCTGCCACCATTTCACCCTCCCACCTCTAACTTGTCCACATCCTCCTGTATCGACTCTGCAGCCACTGTCTGCCCCTGGACCCACATCTTCCATTCGCGATCACTGACTTCAAGGGCTCCCTACTGCCACGACGTAACCCGGATCGTTGCTCCAGTTCTTCCAGAAGCTCACTCTTCCAAGTAACTAACTCGTGCTTCCTTTTTCTCCAAAGCTCCACCACCCCCCATCCACACTCACAGTTCACAGTCCAGCCTCTGTGTATGAAAATAAGAGCACTCAGAAAAGATGTCCACCGGCCCCACCCACACTTCCTCACCTCCCGGGATCTGTGTCCACATCCTCTGTCCTTCAGAGGGGCAGTCCTGTTCCAGGATAGAACCAACCCTCCCACTGCACATGGACTCCACACCACTGGCCAGCTGAGGAAGGCCCACCTGGCAGTTGTCGCCTCTCTTGATCCTACATCCTCAATCTGTTCCCATTTAGATGAGAACAAACATGTTGTAATAGCTATGACCCCAAAAAAACCCAGCCTTCACCACGTGCCCCTCCAAAAACAACCCGGCCTTCACCACATGCCCCTCCAAAAACAACCCGGCCTTCACCATGTGCCCCTCCAAAAACAACCCGGCCTTCATTCACCATGTGCCCCTCCAAAAACAACCCGGCCTTCACCATGTGCCCCTCCAAAAACAACCCGGCCTTCACCATGTGCCCCTCCAAAAACAACCCGGCCTTCATTCACCATGTGCCCCTCCAAAAACAACCCGGCCTTCACCATGTGCCCCTCCAAAAACAACCCGGCCTTCACCATGTGCCCCTCCAAAAACAACCCGGCCTTCATTCACCATGTGCCCCTCCAAAAACAACCCGGCCTTCACCATATGCCCCTCCAAAAACAACCCGGCCTTCACCATGTGCCCCTCCAAAAACAACCCGGCCTTCACCATGTGCCCCTCCAAAAACAACCCGGCCTTCAGCAAAGGCCCAGTTCCTGCCCCGTGTCCCCGGGCCTGGTGTCCCCATCCCACTGCTCACACTCTTTGGACCAGCCCCTACCGGGCTCACACTCACCTTTCTACAGGAACAATGTGTTAGCCTATGAACGACTTCCATGTTGGCAAATACAAGGAGTGCTGGTTGGGTATTTTGTAGAATGTCCTTAATTTGGGTATAACTGATATTGTCTCATAAATAGACTGTAATTATGACTGGCGGGGACAATTCCACAGAGATCAAGTGCCCTGCATCATACCAAGAGGTGTATCACATCTGCATTAATTCATCAGTGGCCAGATTAACCTTGACCACAGGTAGGAGGTGCAGGTCAGATTTCTCCACCATAAAGTTTTCTGATGTTTTCTTTCAAATATTGAAAATCAGTGATTTTGGCTGGGCACAGTGGCTTATTGCTGTAATTCCAGCACTTTGGGAGGTCAAGGTAAAAGGATCATGTGAGGCCAGGAGTTCAAGATCAGCCTGGGCAACACAGCGAGACCCTGTCTCTACAAAAAATTAAAAAAAAAAATCCAGGCATGGTGGTGTGCACCTGCAGTCCCCCAGCCTTTTAGGAGGCTACGGTAGAAGGATCAGGAGGATCACCTGAGCCCAGGAGTTTGAGGCTGCAGTGAGCAATGATGGTGCCACTACACTCCAGCCTGGGCAACAGAGTGAGATGCTGTCTCAAAAAGAAAAAAGATAAATCAATGATCTTGTCCTTACCTTTAATTTAATATAAAAAATGAGACTCAAGGCCTCAAATCAATGACCTGAACAGTTTCACTGTGTATTCCTATTAGTGGGACTAGAACCTCTGATGGCTTCAGACCTCTAGTTCACTATGTTGAGTTTCTTTTCACCAACTAGAAACTCAAATATTCAAAAATGATTAAACCTAGAGACATATAAGGAATAGAAATGACACAGGGAACCGGAGATTCCCGTGGGAAGTGAGAGCCGCGCTCCCGCAGGGAACCGGAGATTCCCGTGGGAAGTGAGAGCCGCGCTCCCGCAGGGAACCGGAGACTCCCGTGGGAAGTGAGAGCCGCGCTCCCGCAGGGAACCGGAGACTCCCGTGGGAAGTGAGAGCCGCGCTCCCGCAGGGAACCGGAGACTCCCGTGGGAAGTGAGAGCCGCGCTCCCGCAGGGAACCGGAGACTCCCGTGGGAAGTGAGAGCCGCGCTCCCACCTGAAGGCTTTCTCCAGGATGCTGCCTGATGTCATTCATTTCATACAAATGGCCTGATTTTCCCTCTACTTGACTTTCTAATTTATCGCTTGGTGTTTATATTTGTATTCTTCTTTTAAAGGATTTCCATGTTCTCTTATCTCTATGTTTATTGCAAACCACCTCAAGTCTCCTTGGTAATAAATAAAAGTTGCTTTAATAATTAAAAAAGAGAGAAGAGAGGCTCAAGAATGCCACAGTGGGCCTGGCTGTCCTGTTCACACATTATTTAAATGTAAGCGGACACTCAGCATTTCTTAGAAAGATGTTATAAATTCAACCCACATAACACCTGTGTGGGCCTTAGAGTGACTGGTGTCA